GGCAGAGTGGAGCAGAGTGCTGGGGCCACTCCGGCTCCTGCTGCTGTGGTGAGGGCGGGTTGGTGGGGGAGGAAGACCCTTGCTACTGCCCCGCACCCATCCTGTCCATAGGGTGGTTGGGGTGGCCGTCATGGGACCCCCACCCCAAAGCACAGAGCCTGTGGTGTCTGCCCTGAACCATCCTATGTATGGGACAGATCTGCTTGTGTTTTACCTTCTTATCTCTTCACATTCCTCATGGATTTTCCATCCAATCTCTAGACTTGCTTTTCTTCTTTTGTTTCCTCGCTGTATAACATTTCGTCCCAGTAACTCAGTGCTTGATGTCCCTTCAGTCACCCATCCTGCTTCCTTCATTGCTCCTTTTTCTCATTAGTTGCTCTGTGTCTTTATGCTGAATGGGGTTCCAGCTTTCACATTTTCTACCGTGGCTTTATAATGTTGGTTTATTCCTCTCCCTCCGTTTACCTCTTTCCCCCAGTTCTCTATTTTGCACCTCCTCTCCTCTCCACTTGTTACAATCTATAGCCACATCCATGCTCCGACACCACAGTTGTCTCACCTAACTACACGTGATCCACACGCATCGTTCAGATACCCAGGTTTCTCCCATTCTGTTTTTGAGAGCCCCGCCTGGATACAAAATGGCTACATCTACACTATGAGTTTTCTCGGCAAAAAAATATGCAAATGAGGGACTCATAGGCATGAGTTGCGATCTCATTTGCATATTTTCTGCCGATCCGTTTTTGTGGTCAGGTTCCCAGCACAAATGCGATTGCGACACATGCAAATGAGTCCCTCATTTGCATATTTTTTGCAGAGAAAAATCTTAGTGTAGACATAGCCAATATGTAGGTGTATCCATATTCATATCCGCAAAAATGAGCCATGGGTATCAGTGTTGAGATCTGCGGATGCGGATACCTGCGGATGCAAAGGGGTGTGACAAAACTCTTTAACCTTGGTGGGCTGTGCGCTTCCAGGCAGATTGCTTGCCTCAGAGGCTCACAGCAGCCCTCAGTGTAGACATCATCTTGCTGTTTGTTGAGTTATTCTCATCATTGGCCAGCCTGAGGAAAAGAGGGGAAACCAAACTTCATAGTCTCTGTAGCCCCTCTAACTGATACAGACCAGGGCAAACCCCTGTACCAAAACAAGTCTTTTCCCTGAGCTGAAATGGGAAGCTGATGAAGGAGGGGAACCGAGGTCTGCCCTCTACTCTGAGTTCCAGTCCTGGGACCCTACGACAGCAGCTGTCTGTAATGTATCTGGTAACATTGTGACAGCTAATGATCCCTGGGTCACTTCCCCATAGCCCTCCCCAGAACCTTCCTTATAGCAGGCTCTTCCTCCTGGTACCTGCTTGCTCTTTCTCCTCCCAGAATCTCCCCTACAGATAGTCTCATCAGCTCCTTCCTCGTGCACCCTGAGGTAACAGCAGAGGAGCTTCTTTTAACCAGTCGCAACTGGTTCTTAATTGGCCCCAGGTGTTCTGACTCATCAGACTCCCTTAACTCTGGAAACTTCCTAATTGGCTCCAGGTGTTTCAATTGGCCTGATTGCCCTGTTTGATTCTAGTAGGTTCCTGAGGATTCTGGGTTAGCCCTTGCTAGTTTACCCTGGGAACAGAGACTTGTTTAATCTGGAGCTAATGTATTTCCCTTCCACCACCCTCCTGTAGCCCTCTGGCCCAACAGTGGCAGAGTGGATACCCCCATATTCGCAGGTGTCTACTTTGATATCAGGCCTTAAAATTCCATCCAGAAGAGAGCAGTGGCATACACACGGAGAGTCACAGCAGAAAACCCAAAGATCATAAGACAGAAAGAAAACGGATTTTTTGGAGTCAATCAATTTTTACATTTTTAGTCCAGAAGGAACCACTGTGAATGTTTAGCCTGATCACCCATAAAGAAAACTCTTAGACTCCTCAGAATGAATTTTCGTCTGAACTACAGTAGATTCTTTTAAAAAAAAATCCAATCTTGATTGTACTATTTCCAGTGATAGTGAGCTACGCTTCATGAGAATGCAAGAACCATATGGGGAATGTTTTCTTCTGTTCACTTCTAATGGGTTCAGTCTATGGATGGATGATTCTCTCAGTTGACTGTGGGTTTTTTTTTCATAGCAAAAAGGAAATTCAAGTTAAATGATAGGATTTTTAATCTTCACAGTTCATGGAAGAAAACATGGACTAAGTTGATTTCCCCAGTCATGTGATACTGTGCATAGAGCCAGAACATTGGTTTTTTTTCTGAGACTTTAAAAAGAGTAATGGAGTTGGTAAGTTTGATCATTATACACAGAAAAAAAACACAGCGTGTTAAGCCTTTTGGTTCTAACTACCAGTCTTCTCCCCAGTGAGAACAGCGTACTTTCATTACCAGGGTCAACATCTCCCCATTTGTGAATCTTTCTTCCTCCATCCACATTCGGAATTTTTTTATGAAACCATTGACAGTCCTGCAGTAAGATATTAAAAATAGGTATAAGCAATTATGTCTCCTAAGATCAATACTTTGAGATCAACATTACAGTGTCCTACAATATAGCCCCAAGGTTACTGACTAAAAGGCAAAGACCCTGAGAAAACCTTCAACTTTTGCTGCAATTAAATTAGTGCTGAATATCCAGGCCTGTCGACCGGGAGGGGAGGGGCAAGCGGAGGACTTCTCCAGGGCACAGTAATTCCAAGTGACAGAGGTCAAAACCCTGGGCACTTTAAATCACCGTTTGCCATTGGAGCCCTGAGCAGTACGCTCTGGATGGCGCTGAGGTAGGGGGGACATGACACAGCATGGTCCAGGTGGCACTGAGGCAGCTGCACCAGCCCTGCCCCTTCCTCCTCAGGTCCCGCCCCTTCCAGGAGCATTTCAAAATTTGAAACGCTGGGAGGAGTCTGGGATCAGCTGGGGACTGTATAAAAAAAAAAAAAACAGAAAAAATGTCTCCTAGAAAATGCCAGGACAGCCCTTCTGCAAATCTGTTGCATACCATTCTCTAGTGGGAAAGGTATAGAGATTTCCAGTGTAGAAGCAATAATCTGGTTTGCCATGTTTGGTAGCTGGTGTGGGCATGTTTTCCATTGCTGGGGCCTCCATTGATCTCTTCTCCCACTTTCCCCTCATAGTCCAGTACAAATTGTGGTGGTACAGTACTAAAGAGTTTGTGAAGTGCCTGATCTGAAGTCAGCAAAAGTCTTTTCTTGGACTTCACTGCCCTTTAAGATCAAAAGAGGAATCATTTTTGCAAAAACTTTGGGTCAGATTCTTAGCTAGAGACTATCAATGTCATCGCTCAGAAACTGACAAAAACTCTGATTTTCCCCAGCAAGGTGTTGTTTTGGCTTCCTTTCCCGGTATGAAGACTGACAGCTGTATGCTTGGTCTCCTATCCTCTGTCGATTATATCCCCTTCCCTCTTCATTTGCAATTCAGGATTTTGGAACTTGCCAACAACACTGTATAAAAATTAATATTAACATTCAAGAACCAGTGTTTGTGCAAAGCATCAGTCACTGATGGCTGCATTCCTTGTGGCTGGTTTGCTTTCCAGCAGACATACTCAGCAAGGCAAATAGGAAACCTACACAGAAAACCTACACAGAATTCTGCAGGAAGCAACAGACGGATATAGTCATAGAAGTGTAGTCTGCTTGGCCAGCACACTCTGTCTTACAGGGGTTAACTAACAACACACTGAAAGCAAGGTTAGCTGCAACAAATATTGATTTTTTTTCTTGGTTGAAGGTTTTTCCTGAAATCACAATTTCTTTCTCTCTTTGTTTTGGGGAGTTATGTTCCTTACCTTTGGCATTTGCTTTTTTGTTTGTTTTTGGTTTTGGAATGGTAATAATTAGACATTGTACTAGTTAAGTACACCAATAATTAAATAGTAATTAATAAATAATAATAGGTCTGGCAATGGCGATACAGTAATTATATATATATTTGGTATCACAAGCTTTCATGGGCAAAATCCACTTCCTGAAATGAGTGGAGAAAAAAGAGGGAACCTCCAAATTTATAACAGACAAAGAAGGGAGAGGAAAAGAAAAATCTTTCAATAGTAACACAGGTGCTAATGAGGCTAATTGAGTTGGCTAGAAGTGTCCCATAATTAGCTTTGATGTCATTTGGGTGTTGAATTTAACAGCCCATCCAAGGGGTTAGTTTTCCTCTCCCTTCTTTTTCTGTTATAAATTTGGGCATTCCCCCTTTTTTCTCTACTCTTTTCCTACGCTCCTCTGAGGAAGTGGGCTTGCCTACAAATGATTATGATTCTCTCTCTCTTTCTCTCTCTCTGTATATAATATCTGATTGCTAGGCCGTGATCGCCCCAGTCTTAGATTGTATCCATTGATTGTCTCTTCAGATATGCTGAGTTTGTAAACTCTAAGGTACGTGCTCTCTCTTGGGTGTGGGTCTACAGCATCTACTGTGATGGGTCCGTCAACTCTAAGGCTGTATCTACACTGGCCACTTATTCTGGAAAATCAGCAGCTTTTCCGGAATAACTTGCCAGCTGTCTACACTGGCCCCTTGAATTTCCGGAAAAGAACTGACGATCTAACATAAAATCGTCAGTGTTTTTCTGGAAAAGCTATGCTGCTCCCATTTGGGCAAAAGTCCTTTTCTGGAAAACTGTTCCAGAAAAGGGCCAGTGTAGACAGCCCAGATTTCTTTTCCGCAAAAAAGCCCCGATCGCAAAAATGGCGATCGGGGCTTTTTTGTGGAAAAGCGCGTCTACATTGGCACGGACGCTTTTCCACAAAAAGTGCTTTTCCGGAAAAGCATCCTGCCAATGTAGACGCGCTTTTTCCGAAAATGCTTATAACGGAAAAGTTTTCTGTTATAAGCATTTCCGGAAAAGGGTGCCAGTGTAGACGTAGCCTAAGTGTTACACCAGTACAATGAAGAAAGGGAAGTGAACCGGGATTCATTGCTCGTCCTCAAATCACAACACTACTCGTTCCTATTACTCTCCTGCTCCAGGTGGCTCGGCTGAAGATGAGTGCTGTGCTTTTGATTCTCTTGGTATCCACGGTGAATGCTGGCACCTTCCCAGAAAAGGGCTCGCTGAGACGGGAAACCCGGTGGCTGTCATGCGTGCGATGTTGTGGGCCTTCAGAACAGCCAGTCTCCGTAGCCTCTTCACGATACGTTCGGATGAGCAGCAACCCGGCCTATTCACTCCCCAAAGTCCAGCCCACAATTGATATCACCATCCTGAAAGGTGAGTCAAGACCGGGACCACATGTTGTGAATTTTAACGTAACTTCACATGCCACATTCCTCCTCCAGAGTGGAAAACACCCACGTCTTGAGATGCAAAACAGCGTTATAGTTCATTCAAGAGGTCAGGGGGTAACTTGGTCCCAGGCTGTACCAATCGATATGTGATAAAGATGCCTGATAGCAGACAGCTTTGTGATCTAGCAGATAACAGAATGAGGTCCAATGGCAGGAAGCTAAAACTAAACAAATTCAGACTAGAAACCAGGCCTGTATTTTTAACCCAGAGGGTAATTACCCATTGGAACAACATGTCTAGGGACATGGAAAATTCTCCACCATGTATCGTCTTGTAATCGAGACTGAATAACTTTCTAAAAAGATATGGGGTCACTCAAACAGAAATTATGAGCGTGATTGGGAATGACTGGGTGAGGTTTTATGGTATCCAGGTCAGATTAAATGATAATAATGATTCCTTCTGGCATTAAAAGACATGACTCTACAAGTTGAACCTCTTGAGTCTGGCACACTTGGAATCTGACTGGTGCCAAACTAGAGAATTTGCTGAACCAGGGGAGGTCAGTTTTGTCTAGCAGCATGACCAGCACTTCCACTGCTTGATGGACTCTTAGAAGACATTTAGGGGTAAATTAGAGCTAAAGAACAGCTCAGAACCCTGGGCACCAGGACTGGTAGCTATAAACAAACTTTATGGGACTGTGGGGAACTCAGCCACTCCCATGATAAGTGGACACCCAGCTCACTAAAATCACACTGGACCATAGATGTTGCCTGACCAGAGACTGCCAGACTAGAGAGGTTCAACCTCTATTAAACTTGGACATTCTGTTTTCTTTGCCATCATTCCCCCCTTCTTCTCTGCCACAGAAAGACTTTATGCATGCAACAGTATATAGGTAAACGACACAGGCCAGGTTCACAGACCTATGGTGATTGCACAAGGAAGTCAATGGGGCTGGATTTCATCCCATGTTTCTATCCCTTTGCTTCTGCCGTCGTCCCTCTTACTCACGCTAGGTAATTGGTCTCCTAAATCATAAATCCCTCAGCGAAGGTGGTCAAAATTCACTTTCTGAGAATAAGGGGACCCACAACAACAAAAACTGTGTTGACGTGAAGGAAGAGGTATGGACAATCCTAACAACCAATGCTACATAGCAGCCACCAAAGGGTCCATGAATAATTGTCCTTGCTATCCATCCAGCTCTCCTATTAACATTGATTATTACTCTATTAATAAAAAAAGTAGGACTCCAGCCTTCTATCTCTGGCAACATTTCCATGCATGCTTGAACTTTACATTTTAATTCTTCCAATAATCTGGTCCAGGCCCGCCGATGGGAGCGGGGGGGAGGGGTTGGTTGCCATGGGGATCGAAGATTCAAAGGCACCCGGGGCTCATGGTTGCTATCGCTGTGGGGGCAGTGGCAGCCTGAGCTCTGGGCCCTGTGAGCCACTATTGAATCGGTACATGATCCGGCCAGCTCTGAGGGCAGGAGGGAGGCACGCTGCCATCCAGGCAGTGCTGAGGGCTGACTCTTCCAACCCCACCCCTTCCGCCAAAGCCCCGCCCCTTCCAGGGGTGCAAACCAGGTCCTCTCCCATCCCACACATTCCGCCTTTCCCAGCGACCTATGGAGTTTCTTGGATGCCCTGATCTGTGCAAACGTAAAACTGCCCACTCTCAATGGCCACATCCTGTTTCCTATGGGAATCTATGAATCTATAAGGGTGTGTCTAGTCTATGGGGTTTTGTAGATCTGAGTCCACACTGCCTTTGAGTTATGTCGACATAACGTTGACAAAACTCAGCAGTTTTGTCGATGTATGTAAACCTCATTCTATGAGAAATAACGCCTTTTATCTACAAAGTTCTGTCGATAGAAGGCATTATTGCATCTACAGTGTCCTTTATGTCCACACCGTTATGTCGACAAAGTGGCTTGCTTTGTCGACAGAACTGGATGTAGTCTAGACGCTTTTTGTCGACAGTATTTGTCGACAAAGCCTCTGTCGACAAAAGCCTGTAGTCTAGATGTACCCTAACATAGCAGAGAAAGCTCTCTTCTTTGTTGTCTGGCTGTCTGGTTATTACATGGCATAGGCATCTAGTAGCATGCCAAGAATGTCCTGAATTCAATTCTAGATGTGCTTTGGCAATGACAAATATTTCCCTGTACACCTGTTGAGAAAGTGTTATTTTACTCATTGGGATGCCCGCTATCTCCATTCAGATGTCTCCGTGCCGTGTGTGCGCATACGTTTGAACTGCCGTTCCCTTTGTGATCACAGGTGAAAAGGGCGACACGGGAGAGAAGGGGATTGCCGGAGGGTCAGGAAAGGAAGGGGAACGAGGGCTACGCGGCTTTCACGGACAGAAGGGACAGAAAGGCCACATTGGCCCACCAGGCAACTCCTGCAAGCTGCTTTACGCTGCCTTTTCCGTGGGCCGGAGAAAACCCCTCCATAGCTCGGATTACTTCCAGCACGTCACTTTTGATACAGAGTTTGTGAACCTCTACCAACACTTCAGCATGTTTACCGGGAAATTCTTCTGCTATGTGCCCGGGATCTACTTCTTCAACCTCAACGTCCACACCTGGAACTTCAAGGAGACCTACCTGCACTTAATGAAGAACAACCAGGAGGTGGCCATCCTCTACGCCCAGCCCAGCGATCGGAGCATTATGCAGAGCCAAAGTCTCATGCTTGAGCTGTGGGAAGGAGACGAGGTCTGGGTGAGAATGTTCAAACGAGAGCGGGAGAACGGCATCTACAGCGAGGAGTCTGATACTTACATCACCTTCAATGGCCATTTAATTAAACCAGCTACAGAGTAGCCAATTCTGTATCTCTGGGCGCAGTGCTTTAGGAGATCTCCTTGGGTGGGGTACTAACGCCCCTCTTTAAAAGGGCCCATATCCATATTAATATGGAAATAAGTAGGCAGTCAATAGCTTCATGGCCTGATTGTGGCTAGCAGCCAGCGGAGCTGCGTTTCAGCTTGATAATCCTCCCAGAAATATTTCTCATGCAAACATCTCAATGTGCAGAGTGGAGGAGGGTGAGTGTGTGTGAAGAGAATGGGCACAGTGAAGAAAAATGCACAAAAGTGACGTGGAGTGCCAGCTTTATGAGTTGTAGAAGCAGGGTATCCAACAGACATGCCGGGCCTGGGAAAGATGGGGGGAGCTGACTCCATGCCCCAGAAAGGGGCAGGGTCCCAGGTAGCATGGGTGGGCTGGGGATAGCTTCCCTTGGCTTCGTCTACACTGCACATTTATTTCGGAATAAGCTATTCCGGAATACAGCCGCTCTCCGAGTTACAAACAAGTTACGGACAACACTTGTTCCGTAACTCGAACTGTTCGTAATTCGGACCCCATTGAGTTACACGCAACAGTGCTGTTCGTAAGCGCGGGTTGCGTTCGTAACTCGGGGACCGCCTTTCCAACCGCTCCACGGGAGCTTTGGTCGTAAGTGCAAATGGTCATAACTCGACCGTTCGCAACTTGGGGAGCGGCTGTAGTTATTCTGAAATCGTTTATTTCAAAATAGCACGTCTACACTGCAGGGAAGCCTCAAAATTAGTCCGAGGCAGGCTTTCCTAATGTAGACGTGCTATTTCAATTTAGAGCTCCAGGAGGCAGTGCAGAGGAATAAGTTAGAATGGTCCCGGTGAAGGGCTATTTCGAAAGAGCAGAATTGGAACGTCTACACACGCTTTATTTCAAAATAGCTGTTTTGAAATAGGTGTTATTCTTCATAGAATGAGGTTTACAGAAGTTGGAATAAGCCATCCATTATTTCAAAAATGCTGTGTTGATGCTCAAATAGTTATTTCGGGATTATGGACGTTATTCCAAAATAACTTTGCTGTGTAGACGCACCCTTAGCTGGCCTTCCAGCTCCTCCCAGAGTGCACCATCGGGGCTCCAGTGGTGATTTTAAGGGCCCGGGGCTCCTACTGCTGCCTGTATGGTAGACCTTTAGATCTCTCTGACCCATAGAATGCTCTGTGTCTTGCTAGCTAGGCAGGAAAAACTTCTTCCCAAAGAAAGCGTCCACACTGCAAAAGTGCATCGAAAAATCAATCTGCTTTTTCGAAAGAGAGCGTCCAGACTCAATGGACGTTCTCTCGCATGTCAGCAGTGATTGCTATGGATGGAATGGCCACCAGGGAACCTGTGCTTTTTCCTCTTTCCTCTTCTTCTGAAAGAACTCCCTCTTCCCCGTCCACACACGCCTTTTTGTGAAAGAACTCTTTCACACAAAGGCTTCTTCCTTGTAGAAAGAGGAATACAAATGCTGGAAAAATCCCTCTGTTCTTTCGATTTTCTTAAGGAAGAATGCAATTGCAGTTTTGTTGGAAAAAAGGCCATTTTTCCAACAAAACTCTGTAGTGTAGACATACCGGACAACGTTCTGAAGTCTTCTTTGGGTTCCTTGTAACATTCGTCTCTGCCAAGTCGTTCAGCACGTGACCTTGCATAAATAATAGGACATCTATTAAAAAAATATAACCTATCTGATCTGTTTTAGGCCTAATTATTTTTGTCATCTGTAATTATCCAAAGGTCAGCTTTCAATGCACGGCTGTCACCAGAGCATGTATTAGACAAGCTGGTTAAGGGTTTCAGTGACAGTCAAGTGTTTGCGGGTTGCTGTTCCTGTGTGGGATCTCTTTGTTGTTTATGAGTCACTGCCCACCAGTTTCATTGCAGAACCATGCCTGGCCCTCCTCTGAAATCACTGGCACCAATGTCTCTAAGGACTCTTTCCTAGTTCAAGCTAGAACCAGAGCTCTGTCCTCCTCGTCTTTGACCCGTTAGCTGCTCTTGACCTAATCGAGTGTGTTTCTCCTTGGAAAACCTTGCCCTTCTTTGGCTTCCATGATTTAGTTCTCTCTGGGTCTCCTCCAACTTGTAATCACGGCCTTCCAAAATTTTCCTTGTCCCCTTTCTCAGTTTCTGCGGGGGTTCACAGAGCTCTCTCCTGGGTCCCCTTCTCTTCTCCCTGCGTGCCTTCTCTCTGGATAATCTCATTCACAAACTCAATTACCATGTCTGTGTGGATCACTAGCAGATCTACCTCTATCTCAGACCAGCCTCCTTCTGTCCAAATAACCATCTTAGCCTGGCTGTCTGACATCTCATGGTGTCTAGTTGTCCGCAAAAGCTCAACGCGGCTACAAACCAGCTCTCAAGCTTCTTCCCCCCGCACTCCAAGCCCGTCCTGGTAAGCTCTCCTGGCTACCTCCTTTCTTGACCACAGTGGACAATGCCACCATCCTTCCTCTCACGTAGGCCTGCGATCTTCTTTGACTCAGACCTCGCTCCGGTCTTGCATCCATAATATATCAACACTTCTCTGATTTGCTCTATGTGACACCTCCAGCCTTTCCTATCCACCCACGCACCGAAAACTCTTATCCAGACCCTCCTTATCTTGCATCTTGAATACTGTAGTATCCTTCTCTCTATAATCTTCATAAGCATTCCGCAAGCTACCGCCAGGGTCGTTTTCCTCATCTCTCGCTCTGACCACATCAGTCCTCCCATTCCACCCCGCCACTGCCTCCTACTTCTCCGTCACACCCACCATCAACTACATGTCTTCGCTTTCAAGGCAGTTCTTCACCTAAGCCAACGTTAGCGCTCATCAGCCATTCACTATCAAGATCTTGACCTCTCCCTTCCATCAGCTCATGATGGCCCATCTCCGTCACCTGCTTTTTGCTTTTTCAGCTTGCTCTTGCCAGGCGGTCTCTGGTGTGCGGCCAGGGCGTCCCATAAACATCCAAAAAAAAACCCGACATTTTCCTTCTTCAGAACTCTCCTCTTCCACAATGCCTACCAAGACCACGACAACGATGAGGCCACGGGTGTGCTGAGAACACTGCCTCTCCTGTGGACAACATAGTCTCGTTGTACTGCCCAGTCTGCATCCCTGTGTTGTCTCTTGCCTTGTTCTTGGATTGTAAGTTGTTTGGCATACGTAGGCTTATCCACGGGGGAAAGACAGGTTGAGGGGGAGGGGCGAAGGGAGCAGTTGCCAGGGAGGCCCAGGGCTCCCAGCCGATTATAGACCCAGACCTTTTAAATTGCTTCCAGAGCACCATGCGTCACTCTGCAGGCAGCATTAAGGGCTCGCTGAGGGGAAGAGAAGGCGGCATCATGTGGCCTTCTCTGGGCAGTCCTGAAGGCTAGTTGCCCCCAGCCCCGCCCATTCTTCCTGAGGCTCCTCCCCTTCCAGGAGCATGGAGCTGTTCCCTCCCACCCATTGCTCAAGGCTCTGACACGTCTGTCAGCCCCCAGGGTACACGGGCGGCATTTTTGCTCTGTGGTTGTACAGCGCCTAACACAATGGGATCCCCGCCCATGACTGGAGTGACAGTGACACAGAATGTACGTAATAATACATCCTCCAGGAAAAGGAAAGGGCCCTATTCTGCCACCTTGTGAAATGTTTGCATGGAGGACGCATTGAATTACATTGTCCCATGCCTTGCTAGGGTAGTGGTTGCTTGTTGTTTGCACATCTCTTGTTACCCGTCGTTGAATCTGAGAATGAACTGCAATAAAGCTCGCCTGTTGAACACACTGGATTTGTTTCCCTTGATTTTCATGAAGCAGAACAAAATGCCATAAACTCCAGCCCTTATTGCCAACTCCAATGGGGATAGTGGGATAGTGGTGGTAGGTGGACGCTTAAGGGCTCCAGTAACTAGACCAATTTCATTCATGTAGGCCAAGGATGGGCAAATACTGACCCACAGGCCAGATCCGCTCTGTCAAGATTGGTCCCTGGCAGGCCACCAAGCACAGGAGGGATCACAGCTCCCATTGGCCACAGAGCACCATTCCCAGCCAATCATAGTTGCAATTGCCTGTCCCTGCAGAGACGCAGGTAAATAAAGCAGCAGCAGTCACCCCTGGTGAACGGCCACCATTTTGTTGCCCACCCCTGAAATAGGCCATAGGGAGCCATTGGCTATTAGTCACCCCTGGGGCTGGGAGATACCAGGAACACTTTTTCTTTATGTCTTTTGCCCCCTTGACTGCAGCAGGAAGAGTAATCCCAATTTTTACTGGGGATGAAACATTGTTGATAACATTAGCCTGGCCTACCTTTGACCCATTAATGCAGAGGCATTGGCTGCTTGGGGACTCAAACCCACAGCTTCAGGGCCATGCCTTATCCATTGGGCCACTAAGACTCACTCTACTGCCCTACCCTGAGCACATGCCAGCTTCTCCCAGGACAGGCTGAAGGCAGGGACTTGACTCTGCAACCCCCAGCTCTGTTGGCCGCTGCCTTACCCATTAGGCCACATAGGATCCACCATTCAACTAACTTCAGCTGCTACCTTATGCTCCCCACCTACGAGGTGCCAGCTCCAGCCACAGAGAAGCTGCTGGGGGCTGCCAGATTGCTCCCTACCATCAGCCACGGCCTTCTCCTACCTGTCTTCAGTGGGTACCAGCTCTACCGTAAGGAAGGAAGTGCCGCATCCCATTGCCAGCCCCCTAGAAGGACCCTGTCCCTTTTTGCTGGAAATGAAGACTGGAAGACTCGTAAGCCTTGAAAAGCCCACGAGACAGAGAGTGGAATTTGTGCAGATTATCTCTTGACCTGAGTCCGATAAATTGCTCCTTGGAAGTAAACAAAAGTCCCAGTCACCTAAATTGGGCTGTTACACAGTTTAAAAAGCCTTCTCTAATCAGCAGCTTCCATTAGGACGGTGATAAAAGCTATAATGGCTGCATTGCTTATTTGCAGTGCGTCATTGAGTATTGAAAGCCCTAGCCGAGAAGTCTGGTTCGAACGTATAAACGCACACAGAAAAAAAACCCTCCGGGTGCATAAAACTTACTAAAGGCATTTTCAGGTTCTCCCAGCTATTTATCCCGGTTGGGAGAATTTTAAAGCTTTGCACGTCTTTTTTTTTTTCTTCCGTTGTACTATTGAAGACATCCCTTGTGGATAAATTGTGTAGCCAGGACTGGCTGGCTGGTGAGATTCTACTGAACTAGTTGAGTGGGAGCTTGCCAGTCGGACAGCCATGGTTTCAAAATTCAAGGGGCAGATATACAGCGTGAAAAGGAAAATATGAGAAGCATGGAAAAGAATGGATAAGAATATAAGAACGGTCATACTGCATCAGATCAAAGGTCCATCTAGCCCAGTATCCTGTCCTCCGACAGTGGCCAAAGCCAGGTGCCCCAAAGGGAATGAACAGACCATGTAACTATCAACTGATCCCTCTCCTGTCGCCCATTCCCAACCTCTGACAAACAGAGGCCAGGCACGCTATTCCAACCCATACTCGTTAATACTAGCCATTGATGGATCTATCC